ATACTACTGGAAAAATGAACAGCAGACCCCAATTCTATCCAAAGGAATACTGACAATGGATTGCTGTAGATGGACCTCTGGCTGACTAGATTTACCAGAAGAGCATATGGGGGGAATGGATGGGGTGCTGACAGCGCAGTGGACAGTGGCAGGGATAGCAGAGTGTGGAGGCTCTAGTGGGAGAGGAAGGCTGTCTACCTGACGAGTTTGTATTAATGCTCAGATGCCAAGGAGCTCAGAAGGTGGGCGACTGTGACCGTGTGATAGTCGTGTATATAGAGATTAGAAATGCATGTGAAAACGTCTCAATGTCAGTAGCCTTGGAATGAATTTTTCTGAATGAAACTGTGTGTTTTGACAACGAAGTGGAGATCTTTTTTAAACGTTGGAGCCTCATTTAATTTTATGTCTTATAGAGTTTGTAATGAATATTGTATAAGTGTAATAATTCATCTGTAAACCTAAAAATGTACAGCCAATTTTGAAAGAGATATACCCTAGCTCAGAAAAATGTTAATAGGTTAACGCTGTTGTAATGAAATGCTTCTTCTAATTAAAAAAAATAGTGTGCAAAAAATACAGTGCCAACTAAGTGTCGGTCAGAGTGGGCAACAGTAAATGTTTCCTTTCCACACCTATTTGACTCTCTTCTCTGAGATGACTGGCATAAATGAAATAGTATAAAAATATGAGTAATGTAGAAGCAACATTTAAAAATGAACAAACTTTCATGTGATTCAGGGCCACTTTTTGTTTTGCAATAAATGTCTGCTACATATGGAATAAGGGGAAAACAGAATCCCTCTTCTATTAAATAGGCTATAGCAACTCCTGCCTCCTTTTCCCACCAAGAAGGCATTATTTAGCAATGAGCATACATATACAAACACACAGTGCAGGAACCATCGGTTATTTTTATTTGTGTATGTGTTATTTCTGTAACTAGATTACAAGACCAGTAGTCATTTCAAGTCACAAATGAATCTAAGCAGATATTAATGATCAAGGTAGTATATGTATGACAGCTGAATCACAATTTTATTAACTAAAATGTTAAAAATCTGCCAATATAGATAAGACAGGAATCAACAAACTTCTTTATCTCAAGACTCAATATTCATTTAGTACATCAAATGGTCCAGCTCCGAGCTACAACCTACCACAGGTAATAATTTTTATAAGATGTAAGATAAAATGTGCACTCTGTAATAACCAAAATACTATGCAAATCTCTTTGGGAATGTGGACCCCACCAGAGTAGGGACACTATTCAGTGTTCTTTCATTTCTAGGTCATTTTACATTGCTTCGATAATCCCCTTAACTTCACGGAAAATGGCAGTAAGTGTACTGTAACTCACGTGATCAACAACTACAATCGAGCCCTTCCTAATATGTTCCTTTATGTTAATAAAGATGGCCACAGCACTAACAAGATTAGCTTTTGCCTCATTTTGGTGAAAGATGAGTTTTAATGCTGCTAATGCCTTCATATTGATCATATCTCTGGCTGCATTTGGATTTTCAGACATATTCAAAAATACTTTCAAAACAAGATTTCTAGTTTTACGATTTCCCTGGGACAGCAATTGAAAAAGCTCTGAAAAGTAACTAACAACAATGTAGTGATGGACAGACTCAGTAGTCAGCTGCCCTAGTATCTTTAATCCAGATTGCTGTCCAGGTGAGTTTAAGGGGAAAGACACGGTTTCTTTACACATATGCTTAACATGAAATTCAACCCTGTGTTGTCTTTCATCCCCAGAAGGAGGATTCAGAGTGATTACAGTCTTTTTTCTACTTTCAGGAGAAGAAAAACTGAGCAAGCTTTCAATTAGTGTCACTACACCCACTTCGTTAATGAATTCTCGGGCAAATGGATGAACTTTATGGACACCCATTGCAATCTGTGCTATTTTATGAATGAGAGGATCGGTAGTTGACTTAAGTATGCTCACAAGCTTTTCAAATTCCTGAGAATCCAAATAGCATTCCATTTTGCAAGGGCAAGCAAATGGCTTAATGCCATTGGCTTCTCTGATCTTGATTTGGTGTCTAATTTCATCTAAAGTCTGGATGCAAGAGTCAGAACCAAATGGATACTCAGGGATAGGCTGCGAGCTTGAGCGCTTGGAATGGCTGTGTTTGTCTGCAGAAGACTGAGTATCTTCTTCATCTGAAGCCAGAACAACATATGAAGAGGGCTTTGTCTCACATGAAGCCTGGGATCTATATCCCAACACTGCTGGCACCACAGCAGGAGCTTTGGGCCAGATAGTAACCTCAGACCAGTCCTTGGGCCTATTTTTCTCATTAATTTCATCAACTGGCTGAGGCTTAACTATCTTGAACACAGGCTGAGGATTAGGATCAAAACTATTGTCATCTCCTTCCCAAAACCAGTTCCCAATAACGTTCTCTTCCTCCTCTTCCTCAGCCCCTGACCTAGACTTGTAGCTGGGCCCAGATGTAGGCTCCAACTGTTCAGTATGGCCTTGGGCGCCTGTATCAGTTTTACTTTCACACTTAGCAACAGAAGGACTAGCAGCCTCTTCTCCCTTCCAGAACCAGGAATTGATACTAGCCTCTTCCCCAGCCCAGAACCAGGTATCAGTACCAGTCTTATCTTTATATGCAGAGCTAGTGGCCTTGTTCTCAGCCTTGGGGTTCAAATCAGATGAGATTTTTAATGGAGCCTTGGGCTCTGACCTGGTTCCTTCCTTCACCTCAGCAACAGCCCTGCTCTTGGACACAGCCTTCGTGTCTGCTGCTGCATCTGTTTTAGGTCCTTCCTTAGCTTTTGCTTTGGCGGTGGTTTTGGCTGCAGGTTTCACCACACTAGCAGCCTCCTTCTCTGCACCAGCTTTAGCTTGTACATTTGCCTTTTTCTCAGTTTTGGCCTGGGCTCTACCCTTATTCTTTCCACCCATCATGGTTGAAGGTCAATTATATATACACTTGTCCAGACTTATTCTTAGTTATCAGTTTGTCCTAGGCTGGTATCTTTACACGTTTTTAGTGGGCCAGAGGTGAATGTGGCAGAAAGAGCTAGAGTCAATTGTCAGTTTAGTAGCCAAACAGTTTCCTTTCTAGACAAATAGCCTCTATCAATGAATGACATGGACAGAGTAAAGGCACACTCTGGCTGGGTGAAGGTATTGGTTTCCGAAGGCAGATCTGTTGAAAATAATCTTCTGCCAATCCAAAGCTACCACTGGAGAAAGACCTAAGGTGGGAGAAAGAAACAGACTTTGAGTCTCCTCCAACTTTGGTTCTTTATACAGATAGCTACAGAAAAGGACATGAGAGTGAAGATGGACTTGTAGGGGATGTGGATTAGCAGAAAACTCTGCTACCTCATTTTATTTATTTCATCCAGCCCAAGTACCACCATTCTTTTCTCTCTACCAGATACCACAAGCATGGAAAGTAAGGCTTCTAGGGGATGGGGGGCTAAGGAGCCCCTTTGGACTCAGATTGGTCCACATCAATAGGCACTATAGGTCTCTTCAGACAGTCTCACACCAACCTGTACTGATGTGAGAATTTTCTTCTTCTGTACTTCTCTTAAAAAGAAGTATAGCTGACTTCACAGGCAGACCTAAAGACAAAAACACATGTGGGATTAGAATTTTTGAATATCTGATATACTGACCTGAACTCATGCCTCCCAATAAGTATCTTTTCAAATCTAGAACTCTGACCATGTAACACTTGCCTACACCTTGTTCTTCTTACGGGAGTTCCTCCACATTTCCTCACACAGCATCGGCTAATTACCTATAGACCCAATCTTGGCTCCCTTTCTCCCACTACCTATACACAGATGTGAGGGCAGAACAATCTGGCAAGTTGGAAAACAGTTCCATGGTACTATTTAGTCTCATCTACTTCCCAACAGCCATCTCCACCACCACTGTTTACCTTCATACTCACCTTGAACCAAGTGAAGTTTTTGGTCTCTTCTTTAACTAGCTTTGGAGGGAACAGCTACCTACAGGTCTCTATAGGAGCCTAGAAAGGAAAAGATCTACGGATAAAAAGGCAGAGGCAAAATCAGAAACAAAATAAAAAAAAATACAGAAGGGATTGAGACGCTAGAATAGTCGTGATAAAGTTGTTTGTAACACATGTTCTTACATACTTAAGGTTGTTAAATGTCTGCCACATATCAGCCCCTCTCCAGTGATTTCCTGGATATGAATAACACCCGCAATCTGTTTGAATGTACATCTTCCCAACCCTGAAGTCAGCCATTTTCCCCAGCTAGGACTAAATTTCATTCCCTAAAGAAAAATACAAGTTGTAGAAATAAGTTGCAGAACATACACAACTGTATTTGAAAGGAAGGCAGGGAAGCTAATAGATACAAATTATTTCAAGATCATCTTTTTAGTACCAGCCCCCCACGTATACCTAGATCATACCTCAAGTGCCATCAATGCGAGGCTTACCACAAAGCAGGATCCTCAGCAGATGCTATCCTTCCTAATGAAGAAGAGTCTTCTGGTTGGAGAATAGTCAACCTATAGAAAGGAAAGAGACACACTAAGGGAAACATTAAAGAAAATGTTCACTGTGATAGGAAATTGTTAGCTTTATGGACAGATTTCTGGAATTAAGATTCAAACACTCCTTTTTAGAGTATCAGGAATCAAGTCAAAGAGCTCTAGCAACTCTCTTCTGTGGTCCAGGAACATACCTTCACAAATACTCCAATATATTCTGTGGCACTGCTTCTGTACAAAACAAGGAACTAGAAACCGTGGCTGGAAATGTTTGGGGTCCCAGAAAAACTGCAGCGTGATTTCAAATATTTTAAGTTGAACCCCTCCCAAAAGGCTTCTCTACTTTCATTCCCATTTTAACACATCAAAAAAAATTATCAAAAAAAAAGAAATGTTGAGGAAACAGATCCTGAACATAAAAGTTAGGCTAATGTCACACTATTCACAACATCAGTTGTAAATAGTTATGGCCAATGCTTTACCCTTACCACTTTCTTGCCCTAAATTAGGCACGAGGCTCTAAATACACAAAGCAATAAAACAGCTCTTTACTGAATGGAGATGAAAATTTCATTCTGTCGTAGTGACTTCATACTCCACCCTGTAGTAATGGTTCCACTTCCCCAGAAATCCCCAAAACTACCTCAGACAGAAGACTCCGCCATCAAGTAGAGCCTGTGGGAGGGACAGCACCCAGGACGTGGGCACGAGCGGTCCCTCTCCGGAATGGGCGCCCCAGTGGCCAAAGGCACTCCCCACCCACCAGCTGAGCTGGCCACACAGCTGGCCACCGCCCCCCAACCCCCTCGCCGCTCCGTGGCCTCCCAGCGCCCTCCCCCCCGCCCCCCAGCTCCCGTACCAGCATTTCTCCCGCAGTCGCCTTCCCCACAACCCTCGTGGGGCCCAGACACCGTGGAGGGCGGGTCAAACCGGCTGCCAGGCAGTCTGCGAGGCAGGTCTCCCTCCAGACCTTTGGGCCCCACTGCCCAGGCCTCCCCTCCACCCGTAGCCGGCCCGGGTCTCCTCCAAGTCACCGCCAGGGGTCTCCGGGCACTACGCACCACCCCCGCCCCCGCGCCCCGTTCTACTTGGGGCAGGGCCGGGGTCCACAGTGCCTAACCACTCCGCGACCGCGACACATCTCCACTTGCCTGGCCAGGCACACGGCCCGGGTCGCCGGACTCCCCTCGTCCCCTGTCCACTCCCGGCTGTGCTCTATCCAGCGCAGCTCCCCTTCTGACAGGTTCCCGCCGCTTGGCACGCGAGCCGAATGGTAAAGTGTCGTCTCGCCCCACGCCCCTGCACCACAGCGGCCAGGGGCTGCGCAGGATGCGGCAGGCACTGCTCGCCTCGAGGGTGTCGGGAAGGGGGCGGAGGGATATGGCGCACTCCACAGGACGCCCCCTCCCAGGCCCACCGTAGTTCCGACCCGGAGTGGGCGGGGCCACAAACACTCCACTTGGAGGGGAGGGCTGCGCAGGCAGCCTCTGCGGACGTCCGCGCACGCCAAGGCCTAGACCACCACTTTTCTGGCGCTGCCAGTGTTGTGTAGGAAGGGAAAGCTGAGGGCTAGGGCTCAGGAACTTGGAGGGGGCCAGGCCGGGAAGGAAGTGTGGGGTTGGGGAGCTGGAGGGAATACAGGATGACTGCTAAGAGACCCCTTAGTGCATCTGCGCCCCAAGTCCCAGGCTAAACCGCCTGCTCCTCCTTCTACTCCCTCCCTGCCCCTGCGCGCCCTCTTCGCCTGTTGTCAGTGAAAGAGTGGAGGTTGTCAGTACTGCAGCCAGAACAACAGACTACGGGGAGGCCTCTTGGCTTTTCCATTTCTTTCCCTGCTTCACGGAGTTCCTAGGGGAAGTGAGGTGGGGGGCACCCATCACAGGCCTCACCACTGCCTCAGTTACAAGTACATCTCCATCCCCGGGAAACCAACCAGAAGTCTGAGCCAAATGCCATTTTTTTTTTTTTCCTACTACCCTCGCCTCCTCATATGAAATGACAGGAATTTTCCCTGTCAGGATACAGGGGCAGATGTCTGGTCCATAGTCTCTGTTGACCCAGAGTCAAGCGTCAAGCCCCAGGTATGGACTCTCTTGACTTCCTGGCCATTCTTCTGTCAGGAAATGGCACCAATTTCCATGTACTTCCTCAAGGCAAACCTTACCTCCTGTCTTGGAAAAAAGCATGGCTTTCAGCCCTGTATGATGCCTAACATATGCACATATACTTTTCCCTTGAATATATACATGTTTTGACTCTTTCCAGAGGTATGGAGTTTGACTTAGACCGAGTTTCATGAATGAAAGGTCCTTTTTGAGGTCTTTTCCACCAATGCATCCCCAACACATAAAAGACAAAGTAGTAAATGGTTGAAGATGAGGGACCATTGTGTCATAAGAATTCCATTGCATCCATTTCTGTTGTATCTCAATGCTAATCCATACGTGTGTATTTGCCTTTGATTCCTATAACCCCTGTGTGTAGCTCAGAGTCTGACCCAAGAAGTCAATCCCTCTGTGGCTTTTCAATGGAGAAAAGAAAGCAAGCTGTGAACCTGAACTTCTGAAGAACATTATGGCAATTTCTTAATGATCATGTAACGTTAAAATTTCTAACAATTTACTGTCCCATATCTCCATGATATAGAACTAGAAATTTTTCTGATGAGTATTGCATAGATTCTTTGAATTTAACATAAAAATATTAAGTATTAAATTTGTACTTTCCTGACCTTGAATTTTAAACACTAATAGTTTCTTGGGAGTGACATGTGAATCGGAAGACGGTGAAATACTGCCTTTTCCATTGTATGAAATCATCTTTCACAGTGGTGAAATGTCTGTGGGGAGATTGTAGCCATAACTCTGTGCTGTGGTGGTCTTCACACTTCTCGTGCTGTGCATGTGAAACCTACTTTTTCTCAGCACCTTGAAGCTCGTGTGCCATAGTTCACTGTTGTCGCAGCTGGTGTAGAGAAAGTTGTTCACGTTTTAGCCTCCATTTTACTGACTAGGGTAGATAAATACTTTCCTTGGCTGAAGTTGGGGGACAACCAGGGAGTCTGGCTTATTCCTATGGGTGTATCTCATGGGAGAAATCAAGCATTTTTATTAGTCTCTCTTATTTACCCATCCCTTAAATGGAAATCAAAAATGGCTTGAAGTCTGTCAGGTAGCAGGCAGCAAAGTCAAGGTTGGAATGACTTCCCAGGATGTTGCTGCTCCACTGTCACTTCTGCAAAGAGCTGCTGCTTTTGCAGTCTGAGCAGAGACACTCTAGCCTCCTTTGCTTTGCTTTCTCTTTTGGTTGGCTTGTTTTTAAAAAAACTCAGTCGCTTTAGGGAATGCAATTTACAAGCTGTCACCAGTCACTTAACTCACTGTGAGGATAAATGTGCATGCTTTTTGTAATGAACTGGTGCTTTGAAAACCTTTTTTAAAAAATATTTATTATTTATTTTTTATTTTATGTGTATGAGTGTTATGCCTGCATGTAGGTAAGTGCACTTGTGTTGTACAATGCCTGCAGAGGACAGAAGAGGCTGTTGGATCCCCTAGAATTGGAGTTATGGACAGTTGTTAGTTGCCATGTGGGTGCTGGGATTCAAATCTGGGTCTTCTGCAAGAACAGTCAGCGTTCTTAACCGCCAAGCCATCTCTCCAGCACCTGAAAACCCTTTTTTAAGGAAGAAAAATCTCAACCAAAGTTATGCTCATCCAGGCACGCGGACCCTGAGTTAATTTCAGCACAACTCATTCTTCAGTGCCTCATCACATAAGGCTTCCAGACAACATGTTTTGCTATTAGAAACATTCTTGTTTTCCAGCAGTGGATGGTTTCCTTCTAAGGTAAAACAAACTAGGTGCTTGTACATATTTTACTACCGTTTACTGCATTTCTGTAAAACCGAAATGCACAGAAATGTAGATTTATTTTAATAAATGAGAACTCCCCCCGAAAAAAAGAGAAAGAAAAAGCAATGATACTTCCATTATAAATAAGAGAGAACAAAAAAGCAGAAACAAATCATTTCCATTATCTTGGAAATTTCCTTAATCTGACAAAATATAAGTTAGGTACTAATCATAAAAGTTTATTATCCCTTATCTAAAATATTTGGCACCAGAGCTGTTTACAGGTGGATCACCTCTAATTTCCGAACCTAAAATGTTCTGAAATCTGAATTTTGAAGTTTCAAGTATCTCAAGCAAAAATCTGAAATATTTTGGATTTCAGATTAGGAACACTCAATCTGTCAAGTCTATGTGAATATTAAGAAATTTGAAAAACTTTCAATCTAAAACACTTCTGATTCAAAGTTACTTTGGATAAGGGATGCTCAGTTTGTGTATACAAGGACATTCAAGAAATGCAATATCTTTTCATATTTTATTTATTATTTTAATTTTATGTATATGAGTGTAATGCCTGCATGTAGATGGATGCACCCATGTCGTACAGTGCCTGTGGAGGTCAGAAAAGAGTATCAGATCCCCTGGAACTGGAGTCACAGACAGCTGTTAGTCACCATGAGGGTGCTGGGAACTGAACCCAGGTCCTCTGCAAGAGTAGCCAGTGCTCCTAACTGCTGAGCCATCTCTCCAGCCCCAGTATCTCTTATAGTAGTAATTAATTACAAATGATGTCATTGATGAAAAGATTAAGTGAGGTCCATTTATTTTATAACCTACTATTTTACCTTATTATGTTAAAATAATGAAGTCACTCTCTGTACCCAGATGAATATAACTCCAGATACAACGTAAAGTGAAAATACAAATTGTAGAATACATATGATTCCTTTTATGGAAAGTATGCTTTGTGCCACACACACACACACACACACACACATGAAATTTGTCCACATAAAACTGTTGAGTATTAGTTCTAAAATATGGGAGAGTGTTTCATAAAGAAGCTCATCTTCCTTTTCCTTCATACATTGCATACTCTCTGTTTAGCAGTGAGATTATATTTCTACATGATTGGAGTCTTTTAGCAGGTTTGATTTGGACCCA